GGACACGGGTCCACTCGATCACGAATGGACCCACGTCTGATGTTACTTCTCGCGCCCTCGCGTGGCGGCATGCGAACCCTTGGCCGCCCGACTCTAGCCGATTAGCAGAGAGAGCGCGTGGGCCTTGGAGTGGACTAGCTGGCGAGACTTCAGCATCAACTTAGAAATCAGGGAACGAATAGGTCCCACTCCTTGGTTTGTGTCATATCTCATGTTATTTTACCTCCACATTGGTCTCCCGGTAACAGCCGCGACTTTCCCCTGATGCGCATGCTTAATGCCTTTTCCTGCTGACATGGCGTTATAACAACTCAAAGCTCAATTTTACCTTGAATCTGCTGAGGAACAGTCTTCTTCATTCCCCCCCCCCATTCATTTCCTCCGTCGTCCTCTACTGCACTCAGCTTCACTTCATGTGCTGAAGGGAGAGTTGGTAATCTTCTACGGTGGTTCAGTGAGGTAGTATGGATTAAACTACCCTTCAGCCTTGCTTGTGATTAAACTTTCCCTCCTTTTCTTGAAATTCCTCAGACTCACCTCACAGGCGCCTCACAGGCGGATAGCTTTCCACAAAATCACACGAAGTGGGCATCAAGCGGACTCGAGCGAATCAAAAAGACTGAAGTGGCTCCCTGTAAGACAGAAATTTCTCAGTGGGAAGGAAAAAGTGACTTCAGCTTCAACTCCACTGTTGGGTTTGCACCTCCGGGCGTGGGTATCGCCTCTCAATAGTGTCGGATCGCAGTCTCTTGTCGACCGTCCTTAAGCGAAAACAAAAAACAACAGTCCAAAAAGGTTTCCCCATTGAAAAGGAAGAGGCTTCTTTGAGGAAGATTTGAAGGGTTTAGAGAAGGCGGAGAAAGTATGACCCAAACGGCGAGTCAAATAAAGGTGACACGAATCTACGAGAACTATAAGTTAAATCTGTGAGACAAACGTGGACAGAACAAAAGCTTTTTTCTGTAAATGAAGAAATTGCAAAGTTCTTACCTCACTACGAATCTTACTTCTTCACCCAACGAATAATCGCAAAAATATAAAAGTGTTTCGTTAACAATTAACAAGATTGGAGGAATTCTTCTCGGGTCAAGTCGTGCGCAGTTCTGAAGAAAACAGGGTTGATTCAGAATGAGAAGTTCACCAAATCGAGGGATAGAGGGGTGAGGGGTGTTGTCGCAATTCCCTAGAGAAAAGAGAAGTTGGCAGAAACGAAAAATGGAGAAATCGGCTTCGGTCACAACGGTCTAGTAGCAGGAGCCCAAACATTCGAATTTTGGACCGCCGTCATACTCGGCGACGGACAAGCGATGGAGCGATCGCGATCGCTCCATCGCTTGTCCGTCGCTTGCCAATCGCTCGGGTCGAGCGATTGGCAAGCGATTGCGCAATCGCTTGCAAAGTGCACAAGCGACGGGCAATGGCTCTGCTCGATCGATACCGCAGCCGACTGCATCGACTGGGGGCGGGGCCAATCGCCCGTCGCTTGTGCACTTTGCAGCGTGAAGCGATTGCGAAATGCTCGACCGTGCCAATCGCTCTCGGCAGAGCGATTGCAACGGTCTTAGCATTTCGCGGTCGCGCTGGTTTGCGATAATTGTAGGTCAGCGTCTTCGTGGCAGGACCACCGTTGCCGATGGAGCGTAGTACATATTTACATAGACACATGATACTGCAGCTCTTTCCGGAAAGATTGAGAGCGTGCATAGTTGGTCCCTGCGAACTTCCCAGTTTTGTTAGCGGTTTGTTTATTCCATGAGCTTCGTTACCACTTCATCTTGCGAAAGGACATACATCACGTATAGGCACACATACAAGGCGGCACACCAAGCTAACGGTTTACATAATAGGAGATCCCTGCACCATTGACATCTCTATCTCTTAGAGGTTGAGATCATGATGGAGTTGGGGTGCTGTGGCACTTAACACCAGAACCGTAAATTGTAGCTCCACTAAAGAAAAAAATAGAAGCAACTATCTCTCCCCTTCTTAGCAGCAGCAAAGGAGCCTCACATGTGCGTGAGTGTCCAAACGAGTTTTCCGAACGTGTACGATCTTAACGGCAATCGCACTTCTACAAATCACTAATACTGCAATCAATGAAACTGTGTTTGAGATGAGATGTAATTTGAATGAAGTGCCATGTATCTGGCAAGGACGCCTCGCTATGCCACTCATACACTCTGGTGGTTGGCGGTCATACAAGGCCAAGCGGCCATCGCTCGCAACATTAGGCCGGGGGCATTATCGCCGCGCCATTTCAAATTAGGAGGATGCGTCGTCCCTCTAGTTGCATTCCTAGCCACATTAGGGGTTTTTGGGACGCCTCGCCTTTCATTTCTGACGAGCTGCCTTATCTTCGCAAATTCCGCCGTCAAGAGTGATTCCTTCGCGGCCACTGCGCATACAATTGCCCCAGCCCACCATTTGTGAAATCGAATATGGTAACCTGCTTCGTCAACAATTTCCCATCTCACGCTTCATGCTGTTCGG